GACCTTTTAGATCCAATATGGGGCCTGAGGGAAGAGGTAGGGGAGCGAAAGTCCAGTTTGTAGCCTTGGAATACCACCTCCTGCACCCAAGCATCTGAAATTAAAGGTGTCCAAACTTAGCAAATGAACCCCCACTCTGGAAAATAAAGGCACCACTAATGCCAAGGAAGGCTTGTGTGAGAATTTGGCAGACTCAGAGTTCATCAGTGAATCACTAGAGCTATTCAAAATCAGATAGAGTCTTGGTGATCACTGGTTTAGAAGCCACTAAGGCTGCAAAAAAAAATCAAATATACAGTCTGTGCTTGTGGATTCTGCAAATAATGCTTAATGCACTTGTGAAGTCAAATAACGGGGTAATTTGGGGCCATAAAGTCTTGCATGACTGTGGTACTCAGTCGAAAGGGCAGAGTACCCAGCTACACCTGTCAGAGCTAAAAAGGGCAGACTCTATGAGAAAAGGGTAAAATTATTCCAGGGTGAGACACTGGCATGATCTGTAGGCACACAGCAAGCAACCCCAGAACTGTTAGAAGAAAGTTATTTGGAATCTGTGTGTATATAGCTCAGCGAATAAATGCTCATTATATCTAGTGTGGAAGAGGAACAGCTTCCTGAAGCTCTGGTTTGTGGTTGCTGACCCTGCATTGTACATAGAGGGGTGCACAAATGACAGTGGAATGGTTTAGAAAGGAAGAATCAGTTGCACTGTTGAAGGGACTCTGTTGGAGCACAGAATAAAATAAATACTATACCTGATTCCGGTACCCCCTGAACATAACAAACATTTAACGTTTAAATCCAGCCTTACACCTAATTAGCCCTAAAACTGTCCCACTCCCCCTCTCCTAACCCCTCTCCTAACACCTATAATAAAACCAATCTGTTTAAGAAAGACTTATTTATATACTTATACTTATTTATTATCAGGCTGTTCCGGTCAGGTCACGTAATCCCCTTTGTCAGCCAGCAGTGCTTGCAGAGGAGAGGAAAGCATGCTTAACAACAGTTAGTTAAGCCTGGAGCAGTGATGTCACTCATAGGCTTCAATGGCCCAACTGTTGGAAGCACTCCGTTCCCTCCCCTGCAGCAAGGTTTGCTGACACAGGGGAGTAAGATCATGTGACCAGATTGGAGCAGACTGAAAATAGACAAGTATATGCATCTTTCTTAGTTAACATAGGTGGTAGGAGGGGGGAGGGAATTGTTTTAAAATAGAACTAAAGGCTTTTTTTATATTTTTGTCATTTTGGACAGAGTGAGGAAGAGTTACGTTATAACCTCTGTTAGTTCTTTTTTGCCATCCTGGGGCCACTTTGGGGAGATTTCCCTTCACATCCTGTCCACAACCAAAGCAGGAAGTGAGAGGAAATCCCTACAAAGTAAAAGGGATCCCAGGTATTCACCAGGGACTCCAGAAATAGTGTCCCCATTTGGAAGATTTTCCCTCTATTATTGTTCTGATGACAACACAAAATGTGGGATTTCCTTTCACTTTAAATGAGAATAGTAAACTCTCTGCTTTATACCTTAAAGGATAAGTTAAATTTAAAGAAAAAAAAACATTTTTTCGCAGGTACAAAATGTGCATTTACTATATATATATATATATATATATATATATATATATATAAATATACACAGCTCAGCATAAATTAGTAGACCCCAACAGGTTTGTCAGAAAACCTTTACTTTCCTTTCGGGATCAACATTTTCTATGGGACACTGTACTACAAAATACTCACAAAAATGTGGAAAAAAAAGATTTGTTAATTTGCATGCACAAAAAAGTATTTTTCCTCACAAATTCATTCAAGACCATGTTGCAAAAATGAATACACCCCAATGAAAGTCTTAGGAACAAAGCTACATTTTAGAGAACAAAATCCCAATTTACGAATATTCGACTACAGGTGAGTCTAACTATTCATAAAAAGGTGTCCATCAGACAGTTGATAATAAAAGGGAATTACTTAACAAAGAAAACCCCTTCCCATTTTATGCTGTCAGCAATGGCACCAAATGGAAGAGAAATGTCACAAGGCCTGAGAAAGAAAATTATTTCTTTACACAAGAAAGGTGAAGGCTACAAGAAGGTTAACAATGCTTTACTTATCAGTCAGAATACTGTAGCAAACGTGATACAAAAATTTAACAGAGATGGAACTGCAACCATCTCACAGAGATGTCTAGGCAGTCCTCGGAAGTTAACACCTCGACAGCAGCGTCTTCTGATGAGAAGGGTTGAAGAAAATCGCCATGCAAGTTCACTACAATTAGCTAAAAAAAAGTAGAAAGTCAAACTGGGGTGATTATTTCCTGTGACACAATATGGTGTACACTGCAGAGGAATGGCATGCATGGGTGCCGTCCACGAAGGAAGCCTCTCCTAAAACCCATGCACAAAACAGCCCACCTAGAATTTGCCAGGGCCCATGCTGAAAAAGAAGAAGACTACTGGGACTCTACTCTGGATTGATGGGACCAAGATAAATGTTTTTTGGTGCTGATGGCTTCAAAATGGTATGGCGTCACAAAGGTAAGGGGTAAAAAAAAAAAAATGCATGGTGCCTACAGTGAAACATGGTGGTGGCACTGTCTTTCTGCAGGGCTGCATGAGTGTTGCTGGTGTCGGAGTGCTGCATTTCATTGATGGTATCATGAATTTACAGATGCACTGCTCTATATTGAAAGAGAAGATGCTACAATCACTCTATGCCATTGGTCGTCGTGCACCTTTCTAACATGACAATGATCCAAAACACACATCCAAGGCCACTGCTGCATTTCTGAAGAACAACAGGGTGAAAGTGATTCAGTGGCCAAATACAGTATGTCTCCTGATCTGAACCCAATCGAGCACTTATGGGGAATTCTGAAGAGACAAGCATCACTAATAAAAAAAGAAAAAAAAAAAAAAAATATATATATATATATAGTATATACAGTATATACATATTGGGATTTTTTTTTAGCAAAGGCATGTAGCAGAATACATTTTGGCCTAAATTTATAAAGAAATTCGATTTTTTAAAATTTTTTTACTGGATACATAAAAAAGTCAAAAATATTGTTTTTTTTTTTCAAAATTGTCGGTCTTTTTTTGCTTATAGCAGAAAAAATAAAAACGCACAGGTGATCAAATACCACTGAAAGAAAGCTCGATTGGTGGGGAAAAAAGGACATAAATTTCATTTGGGTGTAGCGTTGCATGACTGCTCAATTGTCAAAGTAACGCAGCAATGTACGTCAAAAAATGGCCTGGTCAAGATGGAGGGTAATTCCTCTGGAGGACAAGCAGTTAATACATTACTAGGGTAAAAAAAAACATCTCACTAACTGTTCCCCACCACCACCTGTATCAAGTGGTGTATTTAGGTTTCCTGCTGCCCTAGGCAACACAAAAATTGGCTCCCCCCCACGGAGAGACCCTGACACCAGCCAACTCCCCCCTCCCCAACTAAGAGAGCCTGACATTGACCAACAACACCCCACCCCCCCAAGAGAGCCTTTCACTACCACCGCCCCCCATACACTGTTAACCCCCTAGCCCAGGAAGAGATAAGACACTCACCTTTACAGCTTTGGACATCCCCGGGAACAAGAGTCAGGCTCTGCATACACCATCAAGCAGCCCGCAGCCTCTCTCAGATCCCACTTGGTCCCCGTGCTGCGTGTGTCCCTTCTTCCATCCCTTCTTTCAGGGGGCGGTGCTGCCCAACTGAAAAAATGCTGCTTCCCCCCTGAAAAATGCCGCCCTAGGCAAATGCCTTGTTTGCCTTGTGGTAAATACACCCCTGCCTGTATCCTTTCAAACTCCAGCGCTGTCCTGACGACAGCTCTGCTCCTCCCTCTTCCTGGTCTTATAGAAGACTCTGAGAACAGCAAGAGCAATTGGATCCTGCTGCTGTAAGTCAAATCCTGTAAAGAGGAAGCAGGGGCATGGCTGACCAGTGCTGTGTGTGTGTGTCTATGGATGCACACAGCCTGGTTGTGAAATGTGTAGGCATGGGTGACCTCTAAGCACATGGCTTGCCAAGCAGACACCAGCAGGATGGGCAGGGAACTCCAGAAGAGGCGCTAAGCAGAAACGCTGTCCAATATGGGGCAGCACAGTGGCTAAATGGTTAGCACTTCCGCCTGGCAGTACTAGGGTTGTTGGTTCGAATCCCAGCCACGGCACCACCTGTCTGGAGTTTGCATGTTCTCCCTGTGCCTGCATGGGTTTCCTCCGGGTACTCCGGCTTCCTCCCACACTCCAAAGACATGCTGGTAGGTTAATTGAATCCTGTCTAAATTAGCCCTAGTATATGTATGAATGTGAGTTAGGGACCTTAGATTGTATGCCCTTGAGCGTTAGGGACCAATGTGAATGTACAATATATATGTAAAGCGCTGCGTAAATTGACAGCGCTATATAAGTACCTGAAATACATAAATATAAGAAGCTTTAATATGACAAGGCTAGGAAGGTGTACACTGGAATTCCCTCTCCCCTTGCAGTGATGGGACATTGGTCCTCGTTTGCTGTATAAACAGTGTAGTATTTAAGGAGGCCGACATCCTGGGTGTAGAATGTACTATGTTTTTAGATATATACTGAAGGGTAAATAGAAGGAAAGGCTCAGCATGCAGTCAAATATTGGGAAGCCTCTCCCTTCCTTCCAGTACATCAGCATTTCTATGGAGTAAACTTCTGAAGAGGATGGACTCCAGCTGAACTCACGTAAACATCTGTACTTTTTCAATGGGCAAAGAGTCAGCCAATCAGCAGCAGGCTCCCGCTTCCGCCCTGACCTGTTTGCTTCCACAAAGGGAGGGGCAGCCCAGCGCTTGAGGACGGCCAGACCAATGACAGCGTTGGAAATAACACGACGAGGGCGGGGCCGTTCTGTCCCTCTATGTGTGCCAGTATTGCCCAGCAAAGAATCATTGCCTGTCTATCCAGTGACTTGTGTCCATGATTGTATCCTGCCAGGGAGAGAAGACTCACAGCAGCCATGAGCAACGTGTATGATGTTGTTGTCATCGGTGGAGGCATCTCAGGTCTGTTCATTGTGGATGTGATGCTGTGCACTCTCCAGTGTTCTTCTCTTCTATCAGCACATCGCATGCTGTTTGGGAGTGTGTGGCTTGCAACTGTCAGACTAGAGATCTGTAAGGGAATATGCGGCTTGTAACTGTCAGATAACGGATCTGCAAGGGAGTTTGTGACTTGCAACTGCTAGAGATCTGTAAAGGAGTGTGTGGCTTGTAGTTGTCAGACTAGAGATCTGTAAAGGAGTGTGTGGCTTGTAGTTGTCAGACTAGAGATCTGTAAAGGAGTGTGTGGCTTGTAGTTGTCAGACTAGAGATCTGCAAGGGAATATGTGGCTTGAAACTTGTCAAAAAAGAGATCTGCAAGGGAGTGTGTGACTTGCAACATTCAGACTAAAGATCTGTAAGGGAATATGTGTCTTGCAACTATCATTCTATAGATCTGTAAGAGGGTGTGTGGTTTGCAACTGTCAGACTAGAGATCTGTAAGAGAGTGTTATTTGCAACTGTCTTTCTCTAGATCTGTAAGGGAGTGTGTGGCCTGCAACTGTCATTCTATAGATCTGTAAGGGAGTATGTGGCCTGCAACTGTCATTCTATAGATCTGTAAGGGGGTGTGTGGTTTGCAACTGCCAGACTATAGATCTGTAAGGAGTGTGTGGTTTGCAACTGTCATTCTATAGATCTGTAAGGGGGGTGTGTGGTTTGCAACTGTCAGACTATAGATCTGTAAGGGGGTGTGTGGTTTGCAACTGTCAGACTAGAGATCTGTAAGGGGACAGGGGTGGCTTACAACTGTCATTCTGTAGATCTGTAAGGAAGTGTGTGGCCTGCAACTGTCATTCTATAGATCTGTAAGGGAGTGTGTGACTTGCAACTGTCATTCTATAGATCTGTAAGGGAGTGTGTGGCCTGCAACTGTCATTCTATAGATTTGTAAGGGAGTGTGTGACTTGCAACTGTCAGACTAGAGATCTTCAGGGAAGTGTGTGGCTTGCAACTGTCATTCTATAGATCTGTAAGGGGAAGGGGTGGCTTGAAACTGTCATTCTGTAGATCTGTAAGGAAGTGTGTGGCTTGCAACGGTCATTCTATAGATTTGTAAGGGAGTGTGCGACTTGCAACTGTCAGACTAGAGATCTGCAGGGACATGTGTGGCTTGCAACTGTCATTCTGTAGATCTGTAAGGAAGTGTGTGGCTTGCAATTGTCATTCTACAGATTTGTAAGGGAGTGTGCAACTTGAAACTGTCAGACTAGAGATCTGCAGGGAAGTTTGTGGCTTGCAACTGTCATTCTATAGCTCTGTAAGGAGGTGTGTGGATTGCAACTGTCATTCTATAGATCTGTAAGGAGGTTTGCGGCTTGCAACTGTCAGACTTGAGATTTGAAAGACAGTGTGTGGCTTGCAACTGTCATTCTCTAGATCTGTAAGGGAGTGTGTGTCTTGCAGCTGTCAGTCTAAAGATCTGTAAGGAAATGTGTTGCTTGCAACTGTCAGACTAGAGATCTGTAAGGGAATATGTGGCTTGTAACTGTCAGAGAAGAGATCTGCAAGGGAGTGTGTGGCTTGCAACTGCTAGAGATCTGTAAGGCTAGGTTCACACCTATGCAGTTTGTGTTTCATCTGTTTCTGCAGTGTTTTTGCGGTGCATTTTGCATTTTTGCACATGTGTTTTTGACAACTTTTTGCCATGTTTGTGATGCGTTTTTCTCCAGCTTTTTGCTGGGCAGATCAAAACGCATCAGAAACGCACTACATGCTTTTCTGCAGCATCTCCATTGAAGTCTATAGAACCTAGAACACAACATTTTGCTTTTAAAAAAGTCCCTGACCCTTTCCAAAAAATTCATCGGGGGGAAAACCCAGAGATGTGAACCCGTCCCATAGGAAATCATGCTAAATGGACTGCTGTGCGTTTCTGCAAAACGCAACAGAAAATGCATAGGTGTGAACCTAGACTAAGGGAGTGTGTGACTTGCAACTGTCAGACTAGAGATCTGTAAGGGAATATCTGGTTTGTAAATCTCAGATAAGAGATCTACAAAAGAGTTTGTGACTTGCAACTGTGAGATAAGAGATCTGCAAGGGAATGTGTGACTTGCAACTGTCAGATAATAGATCTGCAAGGGAGTTTGTGACTTGCAACTGCTAGAGATCTGTAAGGGAGTGTGTGGCCTGCAACTGTCAGATAGATCTGCAAAGCAATATGTGGCTTGCAACTGTCAGACTAGAGATCTGTAAGGGAGTGTGTTGCTTGCAACTGTCATTCTATAGATCTGTGTGTGGCTTGCAACTGTCAGACTAGAGATCTGTAAGGGAGTGTGTTGCTTGCAACTGTCATTCTATAGATCTGTGTGTTGCTTGCAAACGTCATTCTATAGATCTGTAAGGGAGTGTGTGGCTTGCAACTGTCAGACTAGAGATCTGTAAAGGAATACATGGTTTCAACTGTCAGACTAGAGATCTGTAAAGGAATACATGGCTTCAACTGTCAGACTAGAGATCTGTAAAGGAATACATGGTTTCAACTGTCAGACTAGAGATCTGTAAAGGAATACATGGCTTTCAACTGTCAGACTAGAGATCTGTAAAGGAATACATGGCTTTAACTGTCAGACTAGAGATCTGTAAAGGAATACATGGCTTTAACTGTCACACTAGACATCTGTATTGGAATACATGGCTTCAACTGTCACACTAGACATCTGTAAAGGAATACATGGCTTCAACTGTCAGACTAGAGATCTGTAAAGGAATACATGGCTTCAACTGTCACACTAGAGATCTGTAAAGGAATACATGGCTTCAACTGTCACACTAGAGATCTGTAAGGGAGTGTGTTGCTTGCAACTGTCAGATAGATCTGCAAAGCAATATGTGGCTTGCAACTGTCAGACTAGAGATCTGTAAGGGAGTGTGTTGCTTGCAACTGTCATTCTGTAGATCTGTGTGTGGCTTGCAACTGTCAGACTAGAGATCTGTAAGGGAGTGTGTTGCTTGCAAACGTCATTCTATAGATCTGTAAGGGAGTGTGTGGCTTGCAACTGTCAGACTAGAGATCTGTAAAGGAATACATGGCTTCAACTGTCAGACTAGACATCTGTAAAGGAATACATGGCTTCAGCTGTCACACTAGACATCTGTAAAGGAATACATGGCTTCAACTGTCACTCTAGAGATCTGTAAAGGAATGCATGGCTTCAACTGTCACTCTAGAGATCTGTAAAGGAATACATGGCTTCAACTGTCAGACTAGAGATCTGTAAAGGAATATATGGCTTCAACTGTCACACTAGACATCTGTAAAGGAATACATGGCTTCAACTGTCAGACTAGAGATCTGTAAAGGAATATATGGCTTCAACTGTCACACTAGAGATCTGTAAAGGAATACATGGCTTCAACTGTCACACTAGAGATCTGTAAAGGAATACATGGCTTCAACTGTCAGAATAGAGATCTGTAAAGGAATACATGGCGTCAACTGTCACACTAGAGATCTGTAAAGGAATACATGGCTTCAACTGTCACACTAGAGATCTGTAAAGGAATACATGGCTTCAACTGTCAGAATAGAGATCTGTAAAGAATACATGGCGTCAACTGTCACACTAGAGATCTGTAAAGGAATACATGGCTTCAACTGTCAGACTAGAGATCTGTAAGGGAGTGTCTGGCTTGCAACTGTCATACTAGAGATGTGTAATGAGAAATCACAGCTGGGTGTAGTGTTTGGCTGCAGACCCATGCAGTGAGTGGAGATGCACTCTCCTGCTCCCCATATAATGCCATCACCCACTTTCCAGCCTTTTATTGGAGCTGTCAGATGCAGCATATGTTGTAAGTCATCACAGGAGTTAACCTTTTCACTGCCTGAAAGTGCAGCACATATGGAGAGTGCTTACTAGGTCAGCTCAGTGTTATGCGCTCGGTGTTATCAATGGTCGTCAGCAAATGGAGCTCAGTGAGTTTTTATGTAAGAACGTTCGAGTCTGTTTAGAGCGCACAACATGTCTGTTTTACAAACATTACAGCTCAACGATTACATTCCATCTGAAACATCTGGCAAGAAGCCCAGTCTGTTGCCTAATGATGAATGGATCTTGCAAACTAGCCAAAGTTTGGCCCAGAATTGGATTTTTACCAGGGATGGCGCTGTGCGAATGATATCTGATGAGAGCGACATTACTAGAAATATCTGTAAAATCCTGCCTGGACAGGGTTCTCTATGTTATATAGGCAGAGGGAACTGCAGTGAATTTTCATTTGCTTTTTCCATGCTGCCCTATAGCAGAAATACTGCTCCAGGGAAGCACGGGTGCGCAAAATCACATATATATGTATATATACGTGATTTTGCAATTCTGGGTAGGGGGCACGCCCTACCAGTTCCACCATTTGTGGCGTCGGCTGTCACTCGCCGGCACCCAGTGATTGCCGAGTATCTCTAACGGGGCAGAGGCCTGTATATAAACACAGATCTTTCCCATGTCAGCTCATGCACACTGCTTTGTATGGTTCTGTGTAACAAAGCCATACAAAACAGTGTGCTTACAGTGGAAAGCACACACACACAGCATACTGTGAAACAGCACACAGTTATCCCTTTGATCCTCCATGTTTACCCCTTCCTGCCCAGTGCCATTAGTACAGTGTCAGTGCTTTTTATTAACACTGATCACTGTATTGGTGTCACTGGGGATGTCAGTGACACCAAGTCATTTATCCCCAATGTCAGAATGCCTGCCGCAGTCCCGCTTTAAGTCACTAATTGCAACCATTACTAGTAAAAAAAAAATTCCAGTATCTATATTGCCATTTGTACGCTATAACTTTTACGTAAATAGCAAAAAGTCAAAAATATATTTTTTTTCTAAAAATTGTCTTTTTTGTTTATAGTGCAAAAAATGAAAAAAACACAGGCGATCAAATACCACTGAAAAAAGGCTCAATTTGTGGGGGAAAAAAAGAACATAAATTCCATTTGGGTGCAGTGTTGCATGACC